GTCATGTCAATGATAAATAGCTTTACGTATTTGCTGACCTTCGTCCTCGTTCAAACACTATTGTATTGACACTCAATAAAACAAATATACGTATAGATATGTCAATATTAAAATATATAGTAAGTAAAAAGTGTTTGTAATATTAAATAAAAAGTTAAAGAATCAAACTTTTAACCAATTACTTTGATTTGCATAACTTAAAAAAAATCTCACTCATACGATGTGCAAGAACAATATATTACTGTTAAATTATCAATTGAATTGGAAAAGAAATATATTTTAATACCTACCAACACAAAGTTAAAACCTGTTTTTATCTACAAATATAAATCTCGTATGTGATTAATACTTGTAGAAATGTGAAAATATTTATGAGAAACCAATGTTTATACTATGTGAATAGTTTACAAATACCATAGCAATTATATATCACATCAAAACGGTCCCCTTTGATTATTTGTTCAAATTTATTGGGAGCTTTTTATGAATCTTGTCTTTGTGTGTGGGTAATTTATAGATAATTCCAAATCGACTCAATAAGATATTTCATATTGATAACGAAATTAACTTTAAGGTGTATTACTGAGAATCTATTAAATTTCTTATTTGACCCAAGTGTGGATGATAAACCTGGCATGATGTTTGTTCAAGTATGAAGTCGTTGAATATATTAAAAGTTCTTCATTACCGATTATTTACACAGTAATTTGGTTTTGTTTGTGGTGACCTTTCACATCGATTTATGTATAATTTATTGGTTTCCTAGTATTTATACATTTTTGTGTTATATTGTTGGTGTTGTTTTGTCGTCCTGGTCTTTGGTGTTGTTACTGCTGCCTTTGTTCTGTAAGTAGGACTTCGAATACCGTGAACCTATTTTCCTTTCTGTGATACTTGATTGGCATCCAGTGTTTAGGGTTTGACTAGGAGTGATTGCAGTATTCAAGAAAAAATACATCTGGTTGAATAAGTATTATCCCTGTATTGGTAACTTTTATCAGCTTTTGATTATGGTACATGGTAGATAGGGGGAAAACACGGTAGACTGTTCGTCTTCAAATTAGTTCTGTTAAGTATCATGTGTATTTCGCGAGAATTAGAGACTTCAAAATAATAATAAAACAAAAACAAAGAAGGGGAAACCAATTTGCTTGGATACGAGTGATACGTTTCCAGTAAATACATCAACTGTCCGATAAACTTATCAATAATCCGATATTTTTCAGCATATTCTAAAATACCGTTCAGACAGCAGACCGCTTTTCTTCGCCCATAGTGAATGGGGTATATTCCGTAATTCAGAAATGAACGATAAATGTTTGTGGGGAATTTTACCTAGGGGAGACGCAAAAAAAAAAATAACTAACTAAATTAATTAGATATGTGGAGAATAAATAAGGATGGAAACTGTTTAATAATATCACTTTATACAAACCTGAAATTTGAGAATATATAAAGAATTGTTGGAATAAAGAATGAAGGATGTTGATTTGTCAGCATTGATATGCTGCATTTGACTTGTATTCCTTATATGGATATTTAGTCTAGTAATATATATTTAACATCATAATGTTACAAGACATTATAAGTAAACATCACTACAATATATATATATATATATATACATTGTATATACTTTACCATAGGTAACCCATGGTAATAAAAGCATTGATCCTAAAAGTACGTCCGATTACAGTTACTTCTCAAATTCAGATAATATATTTTTAATTTCAATATAATGATTTAAGTGCATATTCTTTGTAAATATTATCATGTCGCCTTATTTTTTTCTTTTTAGTTATTGTAGCGTCCCCACTCACTGCTAATCACCGTAATGAGAATCGGTCCTCCAAAGTCTAGTTATTAACATTGGGTCAGGGACTCGAGATATCTTACCCAGTCCTTCATACATCTCGACAATTATCACACGACATCATACCGTATCGTTTTAATCTCACGAGACACATAGATCTCTTTTTTCTCAATGATTTGCTTTTAAATGGCTATAAATTGAGTAGTCGAAGTTGATATAGATCTTACTATTAGAAATCATATTCGTGACTGAACTAAAACAGTGATAATTATACCGTGATGGAGTGAAATTTATATACTTTGCATGAGAGTCTTTTAATGTTACAATATTTCACACGGTGTCTATATGACATTGAGAACAATTCTTTGTCTTCAGTGTAATCACTGCGCTCAATACATGTAGGCCAGGTTTTCGTGTGATTGTGTATTGAATAGACAAGAGAATGGTGTGAATGAAAGAATATTAAAAAAGTAGTGCAGAGTAGTAATGAAAATGATAGTAATTTTGTGTTTGATAAAAATGAATGCTAATCCTATTTCAAATACATTGTATGTTCTGTTTAACTACCACTATATCATCATTTCAAGGTTGTGCAAAAGTGATTTTATATCTATTTGATCATCATCATACGATAAAATACAATGTAAATAACAGCAATTGTGCAAGGTAGGAAAAGTACTTTTGCTATGTGATCAATTCATTCACTATTACTTGTTCAATTTATAACTTATTATTCTTTTCCCTATTTTTTCTCCGACTTACCATCATATTTATGGCAAATTATATTTTTTTAATGTTTGTTTGGTATATCATAACTAGTCTCCTAACGTTTCTTGTGATTCAGTTTAAGCTATAGCAACTGTTTTGTTTAAACAATTACTGTTTCAATAAAACTATACAAGTGTCTACTGCAAAACCACATAGTTTCGTGTAGCTCAGTATTTTGTGAACACTTACTTTCGCTTATCAATATAATTTAATGAATCTACTACTAATTATAAGAGTTTATGATCGGGGGAATAAGTATATCAGGACAACCAACGAAATAAAGCGAAAATAAATCCTCCGCGAAAATTAACGAGTTTAAAGTATAAGATATATATGCTCTCTCTCTCTCTCTCTCTCTCTCACTCTCTCTCTCTCTCTCTCTCTCTCTCTCTCTCTCTCTCTCTCTCTCTCTCTCTCTCTCTCTCTCTCTCTCTCTCTCTCTCTCTCTCTCTCCAGTTACAAACCACAATCTAATGTGGTGTATAACTTGATGTTATACAATGTAATACACAATGTAATAAAAAAAACACTTCTAGTGACAGCTTTTCATTATAAGATTCAGACGCGGCGCGGCGAACAGACTTAAATATCACTATACCTCTCTAGTAAACAGCCGGGGCACGAAAAAAAAATACCGCGGTATCTAATCTTAATTGTATACACTGGAAGTAAGTTTAAGTATTCCGCATGAAGGCATTGGTAATATGTTTTTTGTATCTATAGTCATGATTTGTGATATTGGTGCCATAGTTTGCATAGTAAATTATCGTTCATAATTTGCAGATATACGACAAACATCACATCACGATATTGTAAAAAGTGATCACTGGGATAAAATTATTGATAATATGTTTCTTTGAAAGGTCGAACGGCCCTGACTTTAAAGATAGTTATAGTGTATCATTTTTTTCTATTGTTGCTGATAAGTAGTGGCCGAGGTAAATTGATTGTTCCAACATGCAACACGAAGCCTTCAGTGCGTGAAGGTTTTTAAATGGTGGTGCAATATGTGGGACGGCTGAACAGTATTATGCATACTGTAACGCATACGTAAGTTTCTCCGTCGAACTCCTGATTTACCTTGTAACTTCTTCAAATATTCCTATGTATTAAAACCAGGCCTTCTTATATAAAATATAATAATTGTAAAAAAATGTGCTACCTTGACTGATTTGTATAAAAATGATACTGTAAAACCATTTATCTTAGTGTGGTTTTCATTTTTGTTGGTTTCGTGGGTACACCTATTCGATGAAATTCATATGTCCACAAACTTATAGGTTAATTTAATCATATCGATTGAGATTTATTCACCACCAAATCAAGAGTCCAAACCATGGCGATTTAGTTGAAGTGAATTAAGACAAATTTAGATGTATATGAACCACGATAGTATGTTACAGTCACATAATTACCTCGTAATTGCGGCTTCGTAAACTTGTAATTAGGAATTAGTAAACTTGTAATTATGACTAAATAAACGTAAAATTACGACCATGTAACCTTGTAATAACGAGTAGTAAACTTGTAATTGCGACTAGTAAACTTGTAATAACGAGTAGTAAACTTGTAATTGCGACTAGTAAACTTGTAATTGCGACTAGTAAACTTGTAATTGCGACTAGTAAACTTGTAATTGCGACTAGTAAACCTGTAATTACGACTAGTAAACTTGTAATTGCGACTAGTAAACTTGTAATAACGACTAGTAAACTTGTAATTGCGACTAGTAAACTTGTAATTGCGACTAGTAAACCTGTAATTACGACTAGTAAACTTGTAATTGCGACTAGTAAACTTGTAATAACGACTAGTAAACTTGTAATTGCGACTAGTAAACTTGTAATTGCGACTAGTAAACCTGTAATTACGACTAGTAAACTTGTAATTACGACTAGTAAACTTGTAATTGCGACTAGTAAATAATTACGACTAGTAAACTTGTAATAACGAGTAGTAAACTTGTAATTACGACTAGTAAACTTGTAATTACAACTAGTAAACTTGTAATTGCGACTAGTAAACCTGTAATTGCGACTAGTAAACCTGTAATTACGACTAGTAAACTTGTAATTGCGACTAGTAAACTTGTAATAACGACTAGTAAACTTGTAATTGCGACTAGTAAACTTGTAATTGCGACTAGTAAACCTGTAATTACGACTAGTAAACTTGTAATTGCGACTAGTAAACTTGTAATTGCGACTAGTAAACCTGTAATTACGACTAGTAAACTTGTAATTACGACTAGTAAACTTGTAATTGCGACTAGTAAACTTGTAATTACGACTAGTAAACTTGTAATAACGAGTAGTAAACTTGTAATTACGACTAGTAAACTTGTAATAACGAGTAGTAAACTTGTAATTACGACTAGTAAACTTGTAATTACGACTAGTAAACTTGTAATTGCGACTAGTAAACTTGTAATTACGACTAGTAAACCTGTAATAACGAGTAGTAAACTTGTAATTGCGACTAGTAAACTTGTAATTACGACTAGTAAACATGTAATTGCGACTAGTAAACCTGTAATTACGACTAGTAAACATGTAATTGCGACTAGTAAACTTGTAATTACGACTAGTAAACCTGTAATTACGACTAGAAAACATGTAATTGCGACTAGTAAACCTGTAATTACGACTAGTAAACTTGTAATTACGACTAGTAAACTTGTAATTGCGACTAGTAAACTTGTAATTACGACTAGTAAACTTGTAATTACGACTAGTAAACATGTAATTGCGACTAGTAAACCTGTAATTACGACTAGTAAACTTGTAATTACGACTAGTAAACTTGTAATTGCGACTAGTAAACCTGTAATTACGACTAGTAAACTTGTAATTACGACTAGTAAACTTGTAATTACGACTAGTAAACATGTAATTGCGACTAGTGAACTTGTAATTACGACTAGTAAACATGTAATTGCGACTAGTGAACTTGTAATTACGACTAGTAAACATGTAATTGCGACTAGTAAACTTGTAATTGCGACTAGTAAACATGTAATTACGACTAGTAAACATGTAATTGCGACTAGTAAACTTGTAATTACGACTAGTAAACATGTAATTGCGACTAGTAAACCTGTAATTACGACTAGTAAACATGTAATTGCGACTAGTAAACTTGTAATTACGACTAGTAAACATGTAATTGCGACTAGTAAACTTGTGATTACGACTAGTAAACATGTAATTACGACTAGTAAACATGTAATTGCGACTAGTAAACTTGTAATTACGACTAGTAAACATGTAAACTTGTAATTACGACTAGTAAACATGTAATTGCGACTAGTAAACTTGTAATTACGACTAGTAAACCTGTAATTACGACTAGTAAACATGTAATTGCGACTAGTAAACATGTAATTGCGACTAGTAAACTTGTAATTGCGACTAGTAAACTTGTAATTACGACTAGTAAACTTGTAATAACGAGTAGTAAACTTGTAATTACGACTAGTAAACTTGTAATAACGAGTAGTAAACTTGTAATTGCGACTAGTAAACTTGTAATTACGACTAGTAAACTTGTAATTACGACTAGTAAACATGTAATTGCGACTAGTAAACTTGTAATTGCGACTAGTAAACTTGTAATTACGACTAGTAAACTTGTAATTACGACTAGTAAACATGTAATTGCGACTAGTAAACTTGTAATTGCGACTAGTAAACTTGTAATAACGACTAGTAAACTTGTAATTGCGACTAGTAAACTTGTAATTACGACTAGTAAACTTGTAATTACGACTAGTAAACTTGTGATTACGACTAGTAAACATGTAATTACGACTAGTAAACTTGTAATTACAACTAGTAAACTTGTAATAACGACTAGTAAACATGTAATTACGACTAGTAAACTTGTAATAACGAGTAGTAAACTTGTAATTACGACTAGTAAACCTGTAATAACGAGTAGTAAACTTGTAATTACGACTAGTAAACTTGTAATAACGAGTAGTAAACTTGTAATTGCGACTAGTAAACTTGTAATTGCGACTAGTAAACTTGTAATTACGACTAGTAAACTTGTAATTACGTCGACCAAGTGAACTTGCAATTACAACCAAGTACACTTAAAATTACGGCAAAGAAAACTTACGAACTAGTAAACTTGCAATTATTAATCAATACCAAGGCTCGATTAGAAACAGTTATTTTTTCATGGGAAATGAAAGTCAAACATATCCTTGGTGCGAGGACAGGGTATTACATGCTCAGTGCTAAAAGTGAATATATTCAAACCGATGGCTTTCTTGTTGAAAGCGTACTGCAAAATCTTCGTGTTCCTGCTGTTAAATGATGAATATTATTCATATATATCTATAACGGACATGATTAAGCTACAAAGATGGCTTCTCGATATGTCCCCACAAAACTACGACATTTAGCAGTGTTTGCTTCCTCTGTTGACGTATGAAAAGAAAAAGAGTTGAAACAAATACGTAGAATTCCTAATAAATTGTCTGGAATCATGAAATGGACACACCTTTTCCGTGCATTTCCATAACTGCAATCGCATGATAATACTCTGGGTTCAATCTTTAAGAGATTGATGATAGATATTACTCGAGCGGATTAAAAATATGCAAATTACGAAGTCTTAACGTTACATGATCGTTTTTGGGTAATTAAAATATCTCCATCCATTACGCCCCCAATATTCCAACCCGCACAGATGCCTGTATTTATTAATTTTTCTTAGATAAATCCTATAATAGTTTTTAATAAACTAATTAAGCTGAAACAAACAAATATGTTAAACTGACTTACATTTGAGACTCAGCGAAAGCGTTACCAAGACATGAAGAAACCCAACTATCTGAAACTGCATGTTGCCGATCCACCCCATGCCCAGGAAACGCACGTGGGCACTTGGATCAGGTATGCGGAAATGGGAAGTTGGTACTTTGACAAGAGAGTTAAGGCATTCGGAATAACAGCAGTACCCATTAAAAATAGATGTATACACGTGACTGTGAGGTGTGAAGGTTAAGGTCGATTTCATTTCATCGTTTGGGATTTCTGTTACACAAGTCAAGGGGAAAATGCATATAATATTGTGACAAGTTTTGTATTGATTTTAAATGAATATAACTTATTAAGAACATAATTAAGTCAACCGTAACAACGTATCGTCCGATCACTGATATCGATCAAGTGAAACTCATTTCAGAAAAGTAGTTCATTTGTCTACATATTGTCATAACAAATGCATATTCGTGGGACTCAAATTTCGCTGTTCTAAAAAAGAAATGTATCTAACACTAGGGATTGAGATTATCCAAGAGACTCAAATTTCTCTGTTTTTTTTAAGAAATACATTTGAGAGTAAAGAATAAGACTACCCACTATATCAACAATATACACCCCCCCCCCCACACGAAAATTAAGGGTTTTACAGTATGTAAACATTTAAAGATTATCCATTTTCATATTCAGACTCTTTTCGCGTGATTGAACTGTTATCGATACCTGGTTTGATAATAGTTGCCGCTTGTTAGATTTTCCTGTGTTCAGGCCCCTAGCATCACGGCCAAGTGCTAGAAAATCAAATCAGCTGCAGGAAACAGTTTAGTGCAGCGTTTAACTATGTTGAATTTTAACTTATCGTTGTGTTTGCTGCTGGTGTGTTTTTATCACAATGATATACGTTACACAGTCATTTCTCTTAAAAGAAAGTACCTTTAAAAATTCTGAATAGAACTGAACCTTTTATGGGTTTGCGATCTATTTTATACCTCGAAGGTAATACAACTTTAATTTTCATGGAAAATGTTCCTCTGTTATATTGATTAATAGTTTACAATGTATATTGAAAGTTGTTGAAACGTGACAATAGAGTATTAATCGAAGATATTTTTAAAAATCAACGCTACAATGTTATTTTATTAATGGGACAATGTTGGATGTATATTATGAACTCCGCATGTATATGCATGTTGCATCAGCTTGATTAACCGTAAACATCCCCTTACATAATATGTATTGTGATACGCCGTGTCATTGGCTAGTCAGGCGTAAACATTGTGATGAAAAATTAATTTCAATTAAGACACTATGATTGAATTTATCGTTGATACCGAAATCTAAATATAACTCAAATAAGTTGATGTAAGCCATATTAATTTGAATCTTTACTATAGTAACTTTAACTGTGTTTTGTCATGCTTGGTTGAGCAAAAGAAGCGTTTTGATCGAATGATAATGTTTTGAAATTTTCATTTTACACACACACAATTTCTGACAAATTAATCATAACAGGTACATTCGTATACCTGTGACAGGGTATATGCTAACTATAAACCACTCTGTGTGCGTGAAATGGTGAAAAAGATTGAACAAAAAGCACACAAGTGAATAGTACCTTTTGATATAAATTTAGAGTTAGATAAAGTGGAACCGAATGAAGAAAGAAAATGCATCACGCAGCAGTTTCAGCCTTCTAGGTCTCCTCAATGGCGCTAAGAGCCTAAATTTAGAAAATTAATGCTGTAAATGAGGAAATCGTTTCAATTGCTTGTTTGCAATGTAACCAATTGGGTGGGAAAAGTATTAATGTATTCTTGACGTTTTTTCAATCCCATATTCACGTGTGAAATGGTATGGTGTCACCTACAACCACGTAAGCTTACCCTGTATGTTCAATTCTCCTCCCATGTTATAACCTTAAGAGTAACCTTATCAATAACACAATGACCAACGGTAACAAAGAATACGAAATCAGAGGTTATCCATCTGTTTATAGCACATATGATTTCTTGACGATATGTTAAAAATTGACCTAGTTCTGCGGATAAGAATGTTTTGTACGAATTAGACGGAGATATTATTAAATGGCTATTGGCCATTATGTATGCTACAATACAAATCTCTGCCATAGGACCAGGGGGATCATGTATTACTAAAGATATGAAGCAGCAAAGAAAATGTTAACGAAATCTTAATTCAAACTCAAAATCGATGAAACATGACCATACAAAAGTACAAGGAGAAAATGACCAGGTGTTCATTAGAGTAAGCGTCTTTTGCTTTATCGACGACACCCGACATGTGAATCATTGACATTCCTATACGTTCCTACTGACTGTGGATTTGATAAGAAATATATATAAGTTCGGAGTATAAGCATTATAGGTAAATCACGATAAATAAATACACAATATACTACAATCTTCGTTGTATTCTATTCACACTCCAGTCCTCATCTCCCATCCAACCTTTCCTTATTAATTTCTTGAAATATACTCCTTATTTGCTTCAAGCTTCGAGCTTGTCGTGAATTCGCAAAAATTGAAGTCATCAAAAACAGTCGTTAGTACATTACTAGTATCAGGCCAGGTGTTAACACGTTATCAATATATAAGGTAGTTGCATGACTGATAATGTTCGTGCAACTATCAATTTACAAGTTCCCGTGGCAGTTAATTTTAATGGTTGTTTTGACTGTACAGCTCAATTTATTGGTGCTTATAATTGTGAAACATTAATACTAAGGCATAATATGTTGTTATAATGACATATTGGTTACATCTGTAGAATAAAATGGGCGAGTAATCTTTAAATGGCCCAAGGGTGTTGACATAAGTACACACTCTTAGCATTAAAATACTTCGACGTTTACAGTATTAACCTCGTTAAAATTCAAACCCACTGTAAATGTTGTGACATGCTTATGAAAAACTATTCATAAAAATACAGCATACCATAAATATTAACTTTAAACAAATGTAAATCAAATTAGCTCCAGATTCTTGACAAATCTCATTTCAATAAAATGCTATATCAACAATGATACTTTACATTAACAGAATTGCAAATTGCTCTCGATTCTGGACAGATGTGTTTTCAATGAAATGCTTACAACAATAATAACACTTAATATAAACAGAACTTCACATTGCTCTCGACTCTGGACAAGTGTCTTTTAAATGAAATGCAATACCAATATTGATATCAATTATAAAAGTACACGTGTACTTAAACGAATTGTTTATTGGTCATTCCAAGCACAGTGCAAGGACAGCGAGGTCATGTTGTGGACACTGGTCAGGAGTTGGAGACGTCTATATTGACGGAGACAATATGTATAGATAAAGGAAATATCTCACATCCTACTAAAACGATTTACTGCAAAGTACGCACAAAAGGCTACATTACATATAGAAATTTAACTTTTATATGTCAATAATTTTTTTAATTACGGGTCTTACTGCCAAGATGGCCGCCACGAAATGGGACGTGGGGTTGAGGTGACATCCGCATTTGCTCGTAATTGCGGTACTATTTTATAGTGCTTTCGTTAAAATTAAGCCTTCCCAACTATTAAATGATTAAATAGATAAGATTTTCTCATCAACTGATGTCAATGTACTAACAGCAATATAAAATGTATTCTATAAGTAGAGCTAACTTACTTAAAGATCACGAAAACGAAATAGAAAATACCAACATGTCAACAAACAACAAGAAAATACCAACATGTCAACAAACAACAAGAAAATACCAACATGTCAACAAACAACAAGAAAATACCAACATGTCAACAAACAACAAGAAAATACCAACATGTCAACAAACAACAAGAAAATACCAACATGTCAACAAACAACAAGAAAATACAAACATGTCGACAAACAACAAGAAAATACAAACATGTCGACATGATGAAAATTCAAACTCAAATTCAATAAAGCAAGGGCAAAATATTAACAAACGAAAGATTTACATTGAGACTCCTGTAATGTACAAGGAGAATAAGACCAGGTGTTTCGGAAGAGTAAGTCTTCTGCTTTATCGGCGATACATCATTTGTATCAATTTATTTTAATTATTGATAAGACATGATGTGTTTACTAGTAAACATGTACAGTGATCGAGGTATCATATAAGATTATTACACATTATACCTGATCAGGATTTGTCAGGCGTGACTAAATGTGGAGTCTCATTTTTTTTCTGAATACAAAACTAAAAATCAAAACTAAAATTCTATGAAGACACACAATTGAATGACACATGTTAATATGAATTTAGAATTAGATACAGAAGAGCCAGTCAATGAATAAAAATCAATCACACAGCTGTTTCGTCCTAGATCTCGTAGATGCTGTTGATGGCCTTGATTTTGACCCCTATGGGGCGACTGTAGAAAATCTTACATAATCAAAAGAAAAGGCCAAATATATATGGAAAGCTGCACGAGACTCATAATTAGACAAATTTCGTAAATTTTATTTTTCAAATTCCATATATCTGATATTTTCAGAGGAACGTCCAGTATATGTGTCATTTCTGAATTCGACGTGCCACTTTAAGAATGAATTAAAGCATTGCATGCAGGTTTCGGCAAACCTCGGGACTAACAGTCCACCAGCAATGTCTACCATCTTCAATCTCTAAGATTGTTCACAAACACACAAGTGAGTCGAAGTTAGGTCAGATACAATGGATCCAAACAAAGAATTAAAGTACATTTAAAATTGTTTCGTTTTTCTAGGGCGAAATTATGGCAATATATTCACGACATAAATAAGACCAGATGTCCAGGAAGACTGGGCGTTTTCGGCTTCAACCGACTTTCAGTATGTTATAACTGTTCTTTTATTGAGGCTGTTTGGATTTAGAGATATTACATACATATATCCCTTGCCTTACAAACTTTGTTATATTTCAAATTCCCAGATTCTTTAGTTTTCTTTCTTTTTATAAATTTTTGGTGCTTTTAGATGATAGATTACACTTCTTATACCCCCGCAACGAAGTTAGGGGGGTATACTGGAATCAGGTTGTCCGTCCGTCCGTCTAGGCGTCCGTCTGTCTGTAGACACATTTTGTCCGGCTAACTCCTCCTAAACCTGTAAACCGATTTTGATGAAACTTTACAGGAATATTAAGGATCATGTGTAGATATGCATGCCCCTTTCTTTTTTTTGAAGATTTTGGTTGCCATGGTAACTGGTCACTATAAACAAGTTTTCTAATTAATGTCCATAACTCCTCAGTTATTTGACCGATTGTATTCAAAAATTGTATAAAAAGATGTAATTCAGTAAGGCCAATAATTGGACATATTAGACGTTTCCCAAACTGTTACCGCGGAAACACAATCCTGGCCTCTGATTGGTCAAAATTTAGATATTGTCCAATTTTGACCAAATTTGGTATATAGGGTTATTAGGGGATGCCAAACATTATAAAATAGGTTTCGTTGCCATGACAAACATGAGTGTTTAGTGTAGATCAAGAACATAACGGCAGACATTTTTTTTTGTCTCTGTGGCCCTTCAGTGGAAAATATTACTTCAATAAAGATGTAAGTATTGCAAGACTCTTGATCATGAACAACATGTATACCACCCCTTCTGATTTCGAGAAATGCAGGCACATGCAGAATATGTCAATTACTCTCAGAATAACACTTTAACTTATCCATTGACTCGTTGATGTGTGTGTGTGTGGGGGGGGGGAGGTATTGGTCAGCCATCTAGGCGACAGTTCTAGTTTTGTCTGTTAAATGTTTACAATGTAGGTCATGAGCGTTTATCTTTCAAGGTTGGAAAAGACAACTAGATAAAACCATCTGTACACATGGTTTATATATAACATTGAACATTTGGTTGTAGGTCAAAGCGTTTATCTATCTATTGTTGGACGAGCCGTGCAAAATGTTTGGGAAAATGTTTTATACATCTTTTGTCACTAGCATTGTTTGTGCTATCAGTAGAGGGTCAGTTGCCGGAGTTCCCTTCGGGAATAACTATGCCCCCGACATTTCAAACTTCGAATTGCATCAACGTCTACGACTCTTGGAGGACCTTCAGGTGAAAGCTGCGGAGGAATCCATGGTGATGAGGAAAACCGTGGATACTTATCAAAATATGTTGGGGAAAGTTTTCACGGACTTAACAACATTAAATTATGAATTCGGAAAACTTCAAAATGAAAACCAGCTTCTCCATTCCAGACTAGATTATGTTATGATGAAAAACAATGACCTTCTAACACTGTGTGGAAAGAAATGTATGGATCCGGAAAATCTCGATCACTTCCGTGATACTGAAAACAAATTGGAATCAGATCACACAACCGATCGTAACGATTCGTATCCCTTTGTCTCCACTCCAGTGGAATCTCATGTAGATCCCAATACTTACAAACTGACCAAACCACTACATTCAAACCCAAAGCACGTCATCCGTCAATCACCCGTACCTATCCTCGGAGCGAAAAGGGTTTCAGAAGATATAGGTTAGTATGTGACAATACACTAGTCTAGGTGTGGTAGATTAAGACAAAGTGTACTTATCATATTCCATCTAGATATCTAGATAAGGTGTTATAAAGCTTACTTGACATACAATTATTTGTCAACATACTTTGAAATCATTAATTTTCGTGGCGTGTTTATTTTCCTTCATTTTATTGGTACTCCTAGATATGTTTACAAACTAATAAAATCAGTTTAGGTAGATTTATCGAACTGTATTAAATCAAGTATCCACAAACGTAAAATGTTTCCTAAACATGTAGATTAAGATGTGAAGATCTGAGATCTGTGGTTTGAAGCCCCTAACCGGAAACGGTTTGTGTTTCTTAGGAAGCTCGGGCTTTTAACAGTATATGCTGACGTAGTTTTGGTCCTTCACAAAAATGCTGTAAATTGATTGATCTAGATGCATGCGACGTGCATCCCGTATGTTGTTTAGTGTGATATTCACCAGCTAATACAACGAAACCCCTGTACAAAATGGCCCTGGCTTTCCAGGGAGTAATGTACCATTAAACAAACTTGATTTATTGAATTTTTTTGTCGTCGTTTTGAACTCAAAAATCAAGACATTTCTCTCTTGGATTCAATATGAAACAAAAAATAAGAGTCAGAGTTTACAGTATTATAAGAAAGAAAACATATATTTAGAAACTATAGCAAAAATAAAGTTTAGCCGCCCTCTTACGACCATACGATAGAGCAGAAGGTGCAGTTCTTACGCCCCACCTGCAAGACAATGATATTAAAAGGGAGATCGTTTATCTAAAGCCAACATGAAGTCGGCTCTGCTATTTGAACCTAAGGATGTACTTGCACTGCCACGTAAAAAAAATCATGTTCCTGACTTTTTTTCAAAATTGAGATTGAAATTTATTGCAATAAACAATTATTGAACTGGGAGGTAAGTGGCTTCACCATCTAGATTTTAACATTTCTTATAATTTATATTTTCCTCTGTCGCTTCCTTTGTTTCAAGACTTCGGGTCCTTAACATTACTGGAGAGACCTAGAGGGACGAAAGAGCTGTATGACTTACAATATTGACTCTAACTGTTTAAGTTCTGAATCTGTATTGAAAGACGGTATTCACTTATGTGTCTGTTGAATTTTTCCTTCTCTAGGTGGACGTGGCTTTTTCGCAAAAACCAGTCAAACACTGAGCTCTGTCTCCGTCGGCTATACCATCATATTTGACGATATAATTACAAATACCCACAACGACTACAATAGTCACACTGGTGTATTTACCTGTGACCTACCTGGACTGTACGTCTTTACCTGGACAATACAAATCAACATTCATTTTTTAAAATCACAACTGATGAAAAACGGTGTTGCTGTGGCGGATGGTTTTACGGGTGACGATGTTAGTTACTGGACGTCTGAGACAAGCACTGCAGTACTTTCATTGGTACATGGTGACGATGTTGTGGTTCATGTATATGATAATGCTGAATCCGTTAATGTTTTGCCGCATGTCACATCCTTCAGTGGTTTTTTGGTCTAACAGTTGATAACAAAATAGTAAAGAAACGAAGGAAAACTTTTACACTGTAAAAGCTGTCATTTACGAGAGGTTTGGATTGCCGCAATTTTCGACGATAAAATAAAATGGTAAAAAATAAATACATTGAAAATGGTAGCATTGTCCATTTCATAATTTCCGTGAAAAATCTTTTTGGTTCAATCTTTAAGTGAAAAGGGGAAATCCAAACCTACCAATAAAACGTGTTTACATGAAGTATCCGCTTATCAGAAAATGTTGACAAAATATGGACCGTGGCATCCAAGTGTAATCTGTTTACAGAATACTTCCATGATAAAAATCAGAAATTAACCAAAAACTTATTTTTATTAAGAAATCAGTAAAAAATAACAATTAGAAATTAAATAGAAAAGTTTCTTTTCATACAAATGTAGATAACATTGGAATACTTTGTAACGAAGTACATATATCAGTGGCGTCGCTGTCTTTGACCCTGTCCTGTTTGTCGGACATGTCGATCAACGTCGTAACAATAGGACAAAAAATTGCCGCGCAACAGTTTGATTTAGGAATTACAGACAAAAAACTCGTATTTGGTTTCAATTCTATTTCTTAAGTTTTATAGCTGTGGTATAAAAGATTTCTACATTTTATCCGAATGAAACCTGTGACCTCGATTTCTATGTCTACAGTAACCTCTTACCCCGCTGCCAATTTACACTTTAACCTCTGACCCCGGTGTCTTTCTTATGACCTCCTTGATTTCTGAGTCTGCCGTTACCTTTGTTCCCGATGTTGATTTATATCTTTTTACTGTAACCTTTGACCCCGATGTCTAAATCTACCGTAACCTCAGACCCTGATGCTAATCTATATGGTAACATTTGAACCAGATGTCTATATCTACTGTAACCTCTGACCTTGACGTTAATGTATACTGTAACCTTTGACCCCGATGTCTAGATCTACCGTAACCTCTGATCCTGAAGCTAATCTATATGGTAACTTTTGACTCCGATGTCTAGATCTACTGTAACCTCTGACGTTGATATTAATATATACTGTAACCTTTGACCCCGATGTCTGGATCTACCGTAACCTCTGACCCTGATGTAAATCTATATTGTAACCTTTGACACCGACGACAAGAGCAGATTACCCTTCAGTACTAATCCTTGAGATTGTCATGCATGAGAACGCTTAATAATAGAAGCATGCATATATGTCCTATTTAACTCACCTGCAATATTCGTTGAAAAAACGTGTGAAGCCAGTTTATATATTCATTGTAAATATACATGATATTCAAAAACCTTTGTAGAATATACAGGCAGTAAACACGGCTCAACGTATTTCGTATATCAATTTTGATTGAAAATGTGTAGCCATTTCGTTTTTTTTTATTCCCAACAATTGCTTATGAAATATGTTTAAAAACTCGTATCTAAATTAGCATGGCGCCAGATGTTTATTACATAAGTGTATTCCTATTCATCAAAACTCCGTCTTTATTACAACCCAGATTGTATAATTGTCAAGGTAATTATTACTTCTACATGGGACGAAGTATTTAGTTATTTGTTGTCTGTAGAATTAAAAACGATTTTTACACGAGCGTTTTAGCGTCTGACTGAAGTTAGAATTTATCTAATACACATTAAGAGAGGTTAAAATTCCCAAGAATCTTATCGCACATGTATAAAATCCTCTTTATGTGATTTCGTTTCACAAAATCGAATTTTTCATATATAATGGATACATAACTGAAATATGTATGTATAATTTCATCGAAAAGGAAATTCAACTCTATACTACGCTTTAAAATGTACTAGGTCCTGGGCTGGTATTTGTCATTTTCTAGATGTTAGCGTTTTGGTTTTTATTAGTCCGTGAATCAGTTCCCAATTTAGTGCATAAGACAGCTTTTTACTTTTTCTGTGGTTTCATACTTAGGTTTCCTAGCATTGAGGGCGATGGTTTGGTCTAGGTTTGCATTGTTTAACGTCCTGTCAACAGCTAAGGTCATCTAAGGCCGACCTCCCGGTGTATGTGAGATGAGTTGGTCTGTTTTGATATTGTTTAATATCCTATAAACAGCTATGGTCATTTTACGTCCTGTCAATAATTAGGGACATTTAAGGCCGACCTCCTGGTGTATGTGAGATGAGCTGGTCTGGTTTTATATTGTTTAACGTCCTGTCAATAGCTAGGGACATTTAAGGCCGACCTCCCGGTGTATGTGAGATGAGTTGGTCTGGTGTTATATTGTTTAACGTCCTATCAGCAGCTAGGGTCATTTAAAGAAGGTTAAATTTCTTTGGAAAGTGAGGCAAACCGCTTTGTGTTAACCTCTCCCTTGACATTTTGCCGGTCGTCTGCCTCCATGTTTACAATAAAAAATGATGGGCGATGAAGAAATACTTTTTTTGATTGGTTTACATAAGATGCGTGACGTAAATAGAAATTCCCCTTTATTAAGAATAGAACTAAAAATCGTAGAACACGTGATCATGCCTCGACAAATGAAAATGCAAAAAACGTGCTAATCAACAACATAACACATACACATATCGGAACGGAAACAAGCTTAAAGCTTGTATCATTTTTTGTTTTGTTGTGTGTGTTACATGTCGTTTTATCATGTTCAAGATGAAAATGGCACACTGGCAGTGCAGTTCCTGTGGAAAATTAACAAATTGCTAACAAATTCATGGTATTATGAATGGAATAATATGTAACGTTATGAGAAAAAAATTGATTTCAGTGTTTTACGCATGCGTGATAACCTTTCCGAACCCCGCGTGCCTAAATCTGACCCTCTCTGAACTCTTATCTTGTTATTCTACCTGGATGATTCTAATTAACTTTAATCACCTGTAAATGTTTTTTTTAAATCAATTATATATATTATAATTATGAAGTAAACAATGTGAGTACTGTTTGAAGTGTTTTTTTTCTCAAGTTTGAAAATTAACTTAAATTAGCGATATCATGGCCGCACTTCCCATAATATTGAATTTTCTTTCTTAGTCTACAGTAAGACATGCGAGGGGTCTGCCTGTATATCATCTACTCTTGTTTATAATAAACGAAGAGTAAAATTTTCCTTCATTTAAAATCTAAATAACTTTGAAATAATTACCGATATGATTATCGTAAAATTTGAATTTTGCATGTTCATTATATAGTATGTGCAGAGTGGTACGTCCCGTGAAGTATCACTGCTACAGAACGTGATATTCTGCATATGACAAAATTGTTAAGATATCACGGCAAGAACAGCTCATGAAAATAAGCGTTGTTCATGAAAAATATTAAAACTGACTTCTTCAACAATTGTTCGTTTAGGTTTTAGTTTTACAAATCCTTTTTCCAGTAAACATATTTATCATAATACTTGTGAATACCTTAAATTTTTATGTCATTTTTCAAAGAGACGAAAAATAGTTTCTCATTCTAAATTTAAAATCATTTCTTGATTTGTTTTTTTTA